GCACAGTTTTGTTTCTGCGTTTTATCTCAAAAGATCGCATATCAATTGGAGTATAAAAATCCTACATATATTGCACTTCCTCTTTTCACTCTCATAAAATTTAAAATTGTACATTTGTAGTTTGCCCAATGTGATAATCTGTCAGTGTCTCTTGCATCCCTCCACGATGCAATCTCTCACAAGGCGGCCACAGACCCCTAAGTTGTGCACCAGTATTTTTCAATGCTACTAATCAATTTAACAATGAGTTTCACCTATTGTTTGGTTTATCCAGGCCCTCTACCTTGCATCAAAAAACAGACGTACATGTGATCTAGTAAGATGAATTGTTTTATTTATTTATTTACTTAAATACTGGCACCCATTCATAATTGATTTATACTTGATGGATTATTACGAGTACGAATGTGCTAAACTTGGGAGGCGCGGGTATACAAGAGTGTAATTGTGAGAAGGATCAGAGTCCAAGTGATGTGGTGGCTTACGAGGAGTCGAGGACATTGCATCTCAGTCCACTTACATGAAAAATTTGATGACTTGTGCTAAGACAGTTGAATGTAAATTGACACATAAGCTAGTTTTGTAAGGATTTGTGCCACAAAATTATGGGAATACATCATCTCCAATAATTACTTATACGTAACTAACGGATACAAAAATGTTACATTACTAGCTCGTTTGTATTATTAAATGGATAGATAGAATGATAATGTTACACATTTTATGATATTTTATCAAGTTTGAAGGAAAAAATTATTGGAGGGAATCCAAACTCTGCAGCATTTATTGCATACCTAAACGAATGTCACTGTTTCTAGACTTTTTCATAATTGTGTAGATTGAGGCGGGTATTTACAGAGTATTAATTATATCTACCTAGATCTTTTAGAGATATACTACGTATATATTAGAATAGTATATTCTAGATAATTATAAAGGTTTAAAGAATATGTAAATAAATAGAGTATTCTATTCTACTTTTTTTCCGGGATGCTTATATAAATGGTGGTTATTATTAACTCCAACCAATTTTCTTATTTCTAACTAGTGTTTTTTTTCGCATACCCTCAATTAACGATAAAAAAAGAACTACTTGTTTGCAAGATAGTTATACGATGGAGGAAATAGAAAATTCGTAACTCTAATATGTAATGAATGTTGCCAGCGAGCAGTCTTTTCGTCTCTCAAAGAAGATCCGATAAAAAAAGAACTACTTGTTTGCAAGATAGTTATACGATGGAGGAAATAGAAAATTCGTAACTCTAATATGTAATGAATGTTGCCAGCGAGCAGTCTTTTCGTCTCTCAAAGAAGATCAGATCCTAATAGAAAAATTAAGAGAGGGATTCCTACCTTTGTGGTAGCAAATCACGGTCAGAACAAATAGTGTAACTGCGTTAAAAAAAATATAATAAAATAAAATTCTATTTTAGCATTCCAAACATCTTATGAAAATACTCTAAACCAATTTAACAAAATTGAAAAAACTCAACATCAGCGAAAAAAAATGCAATTGTCCATCTACTAATTGAAGAAAATAGGTTAAAAACATATCATTCACAAAAATAAATCCAATGAGAGAAATTCTAATTATTTAAATTTTATATTAATTTGTTTAATTTATTTCATTGATATATAATTAAAAAAAAAAAAAAAACGAAGAAATAACTCCTTCATATTTTGTATAATAGAATACTACATTTTGTGAATTAATATATCCCTTAAACTATTTACAAATATAATTTTTTTTTATTAAATTAGTCTGATTGATAGTCTTTCCGACTTTATCGTGATTTGAAAATTTTATTCAATGTAACGAAAACATATCTAAATATTACGCATGTATCACACGAATGGTCCAAATATACAGTAGAACCGACATTATTGTCAGCACCTTGTATCATTTCATTATTAAATGCTCCATTATAGTCTAATGGAGTTGGGCTAAATTTGTCGTGTTTTGGCTGAGCAAATTAGCTAGTTTTCTTGGTTATCTCAACTACAGCGTCACCATCGACCAATCAAACTGCGTCTTGGACGCAGGATAAGTTAATTAACTTCCTCCTCGAATCAAAGGTGCCCACCATGTTTGTGAACTAAACAAATATTTAATAGAGTATTATTGTTAAATGTTACAAGAGATTAGACATTAGATATTGGTTCCACCAAACGTTCTTGCAGATTTTAAGCAAGTCGGGGTTCCCTTTATAATAATAATACTCAAAATAGCGGGCAAATTGGACCTTGAGGTTCACATCATTAAAGCAAACCTATGGAATAATAAATATATATTTCGGGGTTAACAAAGTTGTTACAAATATTTTAATAAATACTGACTAGCAGAGCAGCTCGTGTCTGGTGAGGCCAATTATGTGTTAATGCTTATGAGTAATATGATATGTATAATAAAATAAATTAATGCTTTAGACCTTGGGGAAGAATCTTCTAATTAACATTCATTCATTTTCAATATTATACGGACTGTACTCCTTTGATCATCGTCCAACAATGAAATAGCATTTTGTTAATTATTTTAGTTGCCGAGGAATTCTAGAGCTATTAAAAAGGGTAAAAAAAAGAAAAGAAAAGTAATTAGTGTCAAATTATGATAGTGTCTAATAACACATTAATCTATTTCTCTCTAAGGGTCAGGCTTCTATTACAATATTAATTCCAAAACAAGAATACATTTTTAATACTTCAACTTTGAAAGTCAAATATTAAATAAAAGTTGTTCCGAAAATGTTTACGGAAATAAATTTATTATGAAGACGTATGATAAATTATCATCATTACTCATATCATGCACAAGAAACATCTTTTCTAGTTTTTTATTTTTCTAAAAAAAAATTTGATGAAGACAGGGCTGCCTTTTTATTATTAATTTTTAAAAAAAAAAAAAAAAATTCCCACAAACTTATCTCCAATTAAGTTTATGCCAAGAGGTTTTATGAGCACTTAGATTCTCGTGTATAGGCTTTTTTGGGGGGCCAAGTTAGCCCAATTTTTACATGAAATAAATTATCAGTCCTACTAAATTGGTGTATGTCTGAAACAAGCTTAGCTCTAAATATATGGCCCAAACCAACGTATTCCAAATTTAATCTTTGTGCTAGGTTTGGGCCAGTCCAGACATTGACCAAGTGCAAATTATTCAAATGACTACTCAAAGAAGAATGATCAAGTCTTGTCCAATGATCAATGCATTTTCCCACAGAAAGAGGTGGTATGCGTGTCCCTCAAAGAAAAAACTTTCTAACTAGCCCAATGGTATAACCTCTCCGTTCTCAAAAAGGAGGGGAGAATTCTTGCCCGGGTGTGGGGCAAATGAGTGTGTGTGAGAGTATGTTTTTGCCAACTCTCCAAACCAGTTTTAGGAATCAAATAAAACCCTCCTAAACAAATTCATCCCATGACGCAGTTCATTATGCATGCCACTTCGACCTCACAAGTTAAATTTATAAAAGACTTGTCCACTCTCCTGTCTTTTAAGTCTCAATGCTCAAACCTCCCAAAACATATTCTGGACGAGGAAGCAGGTGCATTATTTCAGCTTCAACATCCATAGCTAGAATAAAACCACGGACAATAGCCGAAGGAGTCCAATAAAGATATCCTCCAACAAATAGTGCAGTATCAAGGAAATACCGTTCGTATTTGGATTATGCTTCGTATCAATAAGCCTCCGTGGAGCTTCAGCACCCACAGTTCAGCACCCACAGTTAATATTGCCCGCTTTACATTCATAATCGTCAACAAGAAAGACATGGACAACTTCATAGCATCTGAAATATCATATAGGGTAAAGTGCATTAAATCCCCCTGAACTATTAGGGTATGTACAAGAAACCCCCTGAACTATAAAAGTTGCAAAAAACCCCCCTGAACTATTGGGGTATGTGCAAGAAATCCCCCTGAACTATAAAAGTTGCAAAAAACCCCCCTGAACTATTGGAGTATGTGTAAGAAATCCCCTTGAACTATAAAAGTTGCAAAAAACTCCCCTGAACTATTGGAGTATGTGTAAGAAACCCCCTAAAACTATATATTTTTTTGCAGTTTACCCCATCCGCATGAATTAATTGACTGAAAGGGACGATGAAGCCGAGGAATTTGTGGTTGGGATCAGAGTTATAGATGTTTTCTGAGGAGTGTTTGGATAAGCCAAGGAATCTATTGTTGGGATCGGTGGGTCTCCTGTCATAGCTCCATCATAGCCGTTGCACCACCCGCCAGATCCGTCGACCATATATATTGCACTTCTTTGCACCGCCCATCGCCGTCACCGCCTTGCCTGCCGGTCAGCTCACCTTGCTCGCCGGTCCATTCCACCGTCCATTCCAAGCTCACCGGCCCATTCCGCCATCTCCATAGCAGAGCACACCGTCGTCCGTGTTTCGAACACACAGTCGTCCACAGTTCACCGTCGAGCCCCCTTGAGCTTGCCGCCGACTCCACGGTTCATGGCCTAGTCAACCGAGCTCTCATCACAGCCGAGTCCTTCGCGCACAAGCCGCCATCATCCGAGACCGAGCCATCCCGCCGACCTCGGATTTCTTTGGTCTCTTTTCTTTCTTTCTCTAGCTCTCTGTTTTGGGTTGTGTTGGGTGAAAAGCATCTTTTGGTAAGAAAAAAAAAAAAATGTAAGAAGTGTATAAGTTAAAACGACGCAGTGTGTTATAAGGGTAAACTGGTCTTTTAAAATTTTCGGTGCCGGAAGCTGATGTCATGGAGGTAAATTGTAACAAAATCATAATTCAGGGGGTAAATTACAACAAAATCATTGTTCAGGAGGGTTTTTTTTGTAGTTCAGGAGGGTTTTTTGCAAATGACCAATAGTTCAAGGAGGTAAATTGCAACAAAATCATAGTTCAAGGGGGTTTTTTGTAGTTCAGGAAGGTTTCTTACAAATGACCAATAGTTCAAGGGGGTAAATTGCAACAAAATCATAGTTCAAGGTGGTTTTTTGTAGTTCAGGGAGGTTTCTTGTAAATGACCAATAGTTCAAGAGGGTTTAATGCACTTTACCCTATCATATATAAATTCAGAAACATTAAAAAAAGTCCATATTTATATCAAAGGAAAAGGTTGAACAGAAACAATAGCTTGTAATATGCAGACTAAATCTTCTATCCTGCTTTTGATGAGCAATCCAAAAGCCTGGGATGGGTGGAGTGGAGATATATAGCAAATTCCCAATTGCTGACCAAGTTGTTGACATGGAACCAAGCTGTTGATATAAAAGGATAGCTAGCATCCCTTCAACGAAACCAAGCTGTTGACATGGGCATGATGCGAGTTCCTGGATAATACGTCATATTTCCCCCCTGTAAATGAAGTAATTTCATCTGTCTTGATGTTATAAACAATGTAATTTCTGTATGGATTTCCAGAACGAAAGATCACCAACTCTCCATTTTTTAACCAGACAATAGGAAACATATTACACCATCCTAAATTGCGCTGAGGAATTCTACTACGCGCGCCACGTCGACCTCTCAAGTCAACTTTAAAAAGACTGGTCCAGTCTCCTGTCTTTAAATCTATCAATGCCCAAGCCTCCCAAACATAATCCGTTACGCCGAATATGAAAGTGAGTACACTTTCCCTCACTAAAAAATCACCAGATAAATTGAAGAACGTCGGAAGTGGAAGCTGGTACATTATTTCAGCTTCAACATCCATAGCTAGAAGATAAGTAGCAGCATTAGCCGTAGAAGTCCAATAAAGATATCCTCCAGCAAATAGTGCAGGATCAATGAAAAGCGGATTAGTATTTGGAATAGGTTTAGTATCAATCAGCCTCCACGCAGTTTCAGAACCCACAGTTAATATTGCACACTTATATTGATGGTTGTTAACACGAAAGAGATGGACAACTTTGTATCTCCTGACAGAAGGATCATATACTAAAACAGTAGGATTAGAATATAAAATAGGTTCTAGAAATGGAGGGAGGGTAAGTAAATGCTTGGTAATAAGATTTGCAACACAGAGTAGAAGTTCATTCTTGTCGTGACGAAACAAAACTAAGCCATCACAAGTAGAAAGAATATGGGTAGAGAATCCATATCTTAATTTTCTTAACCTAACATTGCTATTGTTAGTCTCCGCAATATAGATCACTTTTCGATGCTCATCGTGTTGCACAAGGAGGAGTTTCGTTGATCTTTGAAGGTGTGCATTAATGAAATGGGGGTTGTTGATAATGTTATACCACTCTCGGCAAACATATCTCATCACATTGAACAGAATCTCAGCACGAAGCAAAACCAAGATGTTGAATATGATCCCTTCAGGAAGATAAGGTATGTTGCTTACCCTCGATCTTCTACTTGAAAAAGAAAGTGTCCTGAATTTCTTCATAATATGATCGACTCCGGCCATCTGCAATACCAAAAAGGCATTAAAAATTAAAAAAAAAAACGCAACTTTAGATATGGTTCACAAAAAAAACTAATAAAAATTCCTAACATGGAATTCAAAAGACTATAGAATCAAAAAAGAAAAAACAAAAGGTACCAAACAGACATACCAATTTACTAGGACAGTAGCACATAAGAAATTTGTAGTAGAATCTCTCTCAATTGACTTTCCTTGGTTTGTGGTTCAATATATAGAAGACTCTTTCTAAAATAAAAGAAAGACTAAAGTTGGAAATTTAATGTTGTTACATGTGCAAGAACCCATTCAATGATCATAATCATGTCTTTAGGGAGGGATTTGATTAGTGATTTGGATATTATGGTCTCCTAAAAAGATTTAATTGAGACCAATAAACAAAAATTTAGCTAGAAAAAAAATTAAGATTGGATAGAGTTGCAGAATCCCCAATCAATGTTATGTGCTTGTAACTGCATCAAATTTTAACATTTTAGTGATTCGCCTGAGACTATGTAATAATTTCGTTTAGTCATGAACACATATTTATAAACAATATTCACATACACATGTAAATATATATACTGATCTACACAAAGTCACTAAGTTACAAACAAACCTATATACAAAAAAGTAACAGGTCCATAAATACGTACATTGGAAGAAGCTAGCGTTCATCATCATTCAATTTCGTCCTTAAATCATTGCGATGCTGTTGTGAGGAACAATCTTTCATCTCTACTCCATCTAGAAGGTGAATGTTGTAGAGAGAAAAAAGAGGTGATGCTTTGCCAGAGAAGATGACGGCGGACAGACAAATAGAGGAGGGGCCGTGCGTTGGGTTTTGCTGAAGGGATAGCCGGCATTGAGATAAATTAGGGGTTAGGGTTTGTAAATATTATATTATATACATGCGCTTTTATGTTATCTTTCAAATTTAATTATCTTTAGGTAGAAAAAAAATTATTTCTATTTAGAAAATATGAAATTTTATTGACTTTAAAAATTAAGCCATCCTCCCATTTGGCGTAATATTTTATAATTCTAAATTTATCATCTTTAAAAGAAAAAGGGAAATTAATTATCACTCTCTTGCATTAAAATTAATTAAAGTGACCATTTGATTTAGACAGTTGTGTCTGTCGCGTCAATCCAACACCTTTCGGTAGGTCAGGTGGTTTGACCTTTAAAAGCATAGCTCATATGAGAATTGTGTCCAACCATTTAGATACCAAGGGTGGCCAAGATGAAAGGTGTCATGTAAACCTAGTGAACTCACAAATTATTTACACTTAGTGGTTATTTATTTACTATGAAGCACGGACACAGGATAGGGGTATGACACGACACGGACACGGCGACACAGAAAATTTCAGAAAAATTGCACACGGACACGGGAGGATACACCTAAGAAATAATGTATATATTCAAAATCCACAAGACCATAAATCTAACCTCCCAAAAGAAATACTACACACAAATACTTCAATTCTATCAATTAAGCAATTAAGAACCAAACAAAGTCATAAACAAAAATAGATAATTAAGGCCGGTGCAGTTTTCATAAACAAAAATAGACAATTAAGGCCGGTGCGGTGCTAGCCCAGCGGGAGGGCGTCTATTGTTTGGGACCTCTGGCCTGTGCTCGAAACCCACCAGCATCATATCCCCTCCCCCTTTAACCTCTAACTCCCTGACCCTACTAACATTGCCAAGTCAAAAAAAAACAGACAATTAAGGTAAATTTCCAACATGTTCAGCATTCTTCATTCATCACCTAAAAGTGATAAGTTCAATAACCAAAAATCTACTTCATGTGCATCTTTCATCATTGATAAAGAAGTACAATAACATAACACACAAGAGAAAGCCAAAAATAGAGTTTGCACACATCTACAAAAATAATTATATAATTGTTCTGTCTACAAATATAATTGTTCTGATTTCTCTCTGTTTTTCCAGCTAGGATCTAAAATTTGATTTAATTCCAGTACTTTGTCAATGAAACAATGTAACTGAGTCAATGAGAATAATCGCACATTATAATGAGACCGAACACGGTCCTTGCTTAATTTAACTGAGATGAATGAATCAATTCAAAGATAAAAAGAACAGAATCATAAAATTCAGAAAACGTAGAAGTTGAGAATCTCAAATGTAAAAAAGGCCAAGTTCATTAGTTCATCTCTGTTACAATAAAAAGATAGACAACTGTGCTCTTGACAAAAAACAAAACAGAGAGTCTTGTTCCTGTACTTAGTGTTTTGTTCCAAACAGTGGGTTACTTAAATATGCACACAGATAGTTGAAGAAGAGTAGAAAGGAAGAGAGAGAAAAGAAGCCTACTTGGTGGAGTCGCCGTCGAAGACACCGGAGAGAGAAAAAATCCTGTGGAGAGTTGCTGCCGCTGGTAGTCGACGTTGGAGAGAGTTGCGGAGGAAGGGAAAATTAGGGGCTAGGGCACAGTCGCGTCTATTTGGCGCATACAAATTTACCATTTGGATTTTTAATAGCACTCCTATGGGTTATGATTCCTAAATTTTTTATTTTTTAGTTTTTTTCTCTCCGCACACGTGTTTACATGCGAACACGGGTCAACTTAACATAGAAGAAATAATTAAAATAACGTTTTTATCTTATAAATTTATATTTTAATATTTTATAATGGTAGGACATATTTATATTTTAATATTTTATAATGGTAGGAGTGTAGACACTAAAATTTAGTGGGCTTTGGTTTTAATGAATGCACCTATTAAATATAGGCCTAATGTTTAAATAAATTATTTAATTTACCAGGCTTGGTCCACTTAAATTATTTAATTAGCCCAGCCCAGATAATTAAATGAAACGATAATTATTCCTAATAAAATATATTTTGAATAATTATCTTTAAGGATAATTATCACAATATAACCAGCCCGGCCCAGTTATAGTTTTATCCTTATCAGGAAATGACACGTGTCATCATCCTATTAATCCAAGAAGCCTATAAATAGAGGCTTGAAGGAAGAAAAAAAGAGGAGAGGATTCAGAATTCAGAAGTCTACAAATTCAGAATTCAGAAGTTCAGAGACTCAGAAATCCAGAGACTCGGAATTCAAACACAAATTCCGAATCGAAACCCAAAAGCGAAGAACATCAAGCACATCCAACAACGTGCCGTTCTTTATCAAATTCCACAGTGATTCAAGAACAAGCTCGTGCAGCCCTTGGATCCAACCAACCAAAAATAAGGAGATCGAATCAGAGGACCATTCTTTGTTTGTAAAAGATATTACAAAGGACTGTACTCCACATTCATAAATTAATAAAATTCTATTTTGCTCCATATTTTGTTTCTATTGCAAACTTACAAAATTTGTGTGTAGAAGGAGATATTTAATTAACTTACCCGTTGACGAGGAAAAACTCTAAATGAAGTTAAATGGGTGGAAAAGGTGATAAGGTGATAAATGCCGTTAACAACATAAATTCAAAAGGTAGTTCTGATCTGATAAGTATGAAATTTAAATTATCGACTAAGGCTTTCCTTAAAGATTGCAACCAATTATCAGCCCAGTTGGCTATTAAAGTAAACTCTTATCAACCAATGAGGTATGGGCAATATTGAACTCCAATTCATGAATTACTTATTTTTATTCTGTAAACTGACTTAGCCATCGGAGCTGTTTTGGCAGGCACCACACCGGTGTCAAGAGAAAAATGTTGTCGTTTCGGATCGTTGTAGGCTAATCTTCATCAGTTGGCGCCGTCTGTGGGAACTTGGAATAGTTCTCTTTAAAAAGGATTATGGTCTTACGATTCGGATTTGAGCGCGGTGAGGGAACATCGTTGCAGGCCTCTAGTGAGGAGGAAGTGCAGGGGGAACCCCCTCACATCCCAAATGACCTAGAGCGCGTCGCAGAGTTGGAATAGCAAATTCAAACCCTGAATCAGGGAATGAATGAGCTGATTCGGCAAAATGCGATGATCCTTCAACGTTTTGTTCCCCCAGACCCACCTCAAGGGCAAGGTCGTCACCATAACGAAATCCCACCTCAAGATCAGCCCAACCTAAATGCTGAGGAGTTTCTTGCAGAGCATAGCCAAATTGCTGATCTGCATAGGGTGGCAGGTCACCCATCTCCCCCACGTAGCTCTAGGCCATTAACCTCGACCTACGTTGATGAACGGACTGAGGAGGTTACCCACATCGACCAACAGATCCAGAACCTCAATGCTAAGATGGAAGATGTGATGCAAGCTATGAAGGGAAAAGGCTTCACTACCACCATAAACGACCTTGTTCAAAAAACAAATTTGCCATTTAGCCCGATTATCATGAGATGTCCATTGCCTAGCAAGTTCAAGATGCCAACACTTAAAAGCTTTGATGGGACTCATGATCCTTTTGATCACCTGGAGACTTCCAGGCACTTATGTATCTCCAAGCTATACCAGACCAGATAATGTGGCGGGCCTTTCCTACTACTCTCAAAGGGTCGGCACGGGTCTGATTTAATAAATTAAAACCAGGCTCGATCGAGACCTTTGCAGAGTTGAGCAAGGGATTTATAAGTTATTTCATTACAGGTCAAAGGCACAGGAGGCCGGCCACTCACCTGCTCACCGTGAAACAACAGAAGGAAAACCCATTATATAGGGAATATCAATCGGTTCAACACCGAAATGCTGCAGGTGGACGAAGCTGATGACAATGTAGCACTTACCGTATTCATGGGAGGACTGCATACATCTAGATTCCTTTTTTCCTTGTTAAAGGAACCTCCAACCAGTTTGGCAGAATTACTGGTCAGAGCCAGGAAACACATGAATGCGAAGGATGCGATGAGTGCGCGAAAGGGGAAAGAAGGAGAAGATAAAAAGACGGATAAAAAGAGACCACAGCCTGGTGCCAAGGACGAGAAGGAGACCAAATTCAAAAAGTCTTCAATCAATCAAAGCGAAAGGATATATCGTTACAGGAGCTCAAATAAGTACTCCAACTACACCCCGCTCATTATGTCTATAGATCAGGTTTTAATGCAAATTCAGGATGATCCCTCCCTGAAGTGGCCATCGAAGCTGAAATCTGATCCCTCAAGAAGGCCTCGAGACAAATATTGCAGGTTCCATAGGGATCTTGGGCATATCACGGAGGATTGTATCGACTTAAAAGATCAGATTGAGAATTTGATTCGAATGGGTCACCTGCGAAGGTTCATGGCGGGAGATGATAGACAAGGTACTAATCCCGCACAAGGGAGGCGGGACAATCATCCACCAGAACAACAACCAGTATGTGAGATCAGAGTCATATCTGGAGGGTATGCAGGAGGAGGTAAAACAGCCACGACCCGAAAAACTTACGCAAGAAGAGCAAGAGCAAAGGTGAATGAGGTGGGAATGTTCAACTCTACATCAAAAACACTAAGGTATACTGATACTACCATTATGTTTTCAGAGGCTGATGCCAAAGGGATCCAGCAACCCCATGATGATCCTCTAGTTGTCTCCATGGTCATAGCTAACTACACCATAAGGCATATACTTATTGACAATGGGAGTTTAGCTGATATAATATTTTCCAATGTATTCAACCAAATGATGATAGGCCGGAAAAGGTTACGACCCATAAATTCTCCTCTCGTGGGGTTTTCAGGAGATAAGGTATATCCATTGGGAGTAGTTACCCTTCCAGTGACTGCAGGAACCAGCCCAAAACAGGTCACTTTTATGGTTGATTTTATAGTGGTGGATTGCCCTTCAGCATATAATGTTATTCTTGGGAGGACAACCCTAAACTCTATTAAAGCCATTATTTCGACTTACCACATCCTCATACATTTCCTGACAGAGCATGGGGTGGGTGAGTTGAAGGGTGACCAAGCCACCGCTCATGAATGCTATCTCACTTCTCTTAGAGAAAAGATGTCCCAGGAAATTATGATAATTGAAGGGTTAGAGGTAAGAGACCAGAAGGAGGTAGAAAAGCAGAAAGTTCGACGAGCCGAATCGATGGAAGACCTATTGGAGGTGAGCTTGGATGATGAGGCTAAGAAAAAAGTGAGCATAGGATCCTTGCTTCAACCTGGCATAAAGGGTGAACTCATTCAATTTCTCAAGCAAAACCAGAAAACTATGATAATTAAAAGGTTAGAGGTAAAAGACCAGAAGGAGGTAGAAAAGCAGAAAGTTCGACGAACCGAATCGATGGAAGACCTATTGGAGGTGAGCTTGGATGATGAGGCTAAGAAAAAAGTGAGCATAGGATCTTTGCTTCAACCTGGCATAAAGGGTGAACTCATTCAATTTCTCAAGCAAAACCAGGATGTGTTCGCTTGGACTCACGAGGACATGCCCGGCATAAGTCCGGCCATAATACAACATTATTTAAATGTTCATCCCAGCTTTAAACCCATCAGACAGAAAAGAAAGACATTAGCCTCTAAACGAAACCAGGCTATATCGGAAGAGGTGGAGAAACTCTTGAGAGCTCACTTTATTCAAGAGGTACATTATCCTGACTGGTTGTCAAATGTGGTCCTCGTAAAGAAAGCCAATGGGAAGTAGAGATTATACATCGACTTTACAGACTTGAACAAGGCTTGCCCAAAAGATAGTTTTCCTCTCCCACGTATTGATATGCTGGTGGAGGGAACTATGGGACATAAACTGCTGAGCTTCATGGATACATACTCTGGATATAACCAGATTCCAATGTACCAACTGGACATAGAAAAAACCTCATTTATTACTGATCAGGGTTTGTATTGTTACAGGGTCATGCCATTTGGGTTAAAAAATGCAGGAGCAACATACAAAAGGTTAGTCAACATGATGTTCAAGCAGCAAATCGGACGGAATATAGAAGTCTATGTGGACGATATGCTAGTGAAAAGTTGGAAGACTAAAGATCACCTGGCAGACCTGCAGGAAACCTTCGAAGTGTTAAGGAAGTATAAGATGAAACTCAACCCCAGCAAGTGTGCTTTCGGAGTTGCCTCAGGGAAATTCCTTGGGTATATAGTGAGCAGAAGATGAATAGAGGCTAATCCAGAAAAGATCCAAGCTGTTCTGGATATGAGGTCACCCAAATCCACGAAGGATCTCCAACAACTCACGGGGAAGATTGCTGCCCTAAGTAGGCTGATTTCTCGAGAAACTGACAGATGTTTACCTTTCTTTAGTACCCTCAAAAAAGCATTTGAATAGACACCAGAATGTGAGCAGACGTTTTTATAATTAAAGGAATACCTTTCCTCACCACCACTTCTATCAAGAGCAATACTAGGAGAGGACTTGTATTTATATTTGGCTGTCTCCTCATCAGCAGTTAGTTCAGCTCTAATGCGAGAGGAGGATGAGGTTCAAAAGCCGATGTATTACACAAGTCGGGAACTTAGGGGTGCCGAGGAAAGATATCTGAAAATGGAGAAATTAGCATTTGCCTTAGTCATGTCAGCTAGGAAACTCAGGCATTATTTTCAAGCTCACAAGATAGTGGTATTAATGGACCAACCTCTAAGGCAGGTTCTCCACAAGCCAGAGACTTCAGGTCAACTTATGAAGTGGTCAATAGAGTTCGGGGAGTTTGACATCCAGTATAAACCTCGAACTACAATAAAAGCTCAGGTGATAACAATTTTGTTGCTGAGTTCA